GTGGGGATATGGTGACATCCTTGGTGAGGATGTAGGGACACATAAGGACAACATGGCGCTGACATGGGGAGTGTGAGCACAGAGGGGGATGTGGGGACAAGGTGAGATAAGGGAACACGAATGGGGGAACACAGGGGGTCCCAGCCCCACATTCACCCCATAGCAGTGCTGGGACCATAGAATAGATAGGGACCCGTATAGGGTATTTAGGAGCCCATGTACGGCAGATGGGGGGCCAATATATAGAGCAAACAGAAGGATCCATATATAGGACAGATAAAGGGATCCATATATAGGGCACACAGAGATTCGTGTAGGGCAGATGGGGGCCATATAGGGCAGATAGGGGGCCTATATATAGGGCAGATGGGGGGGGCCCATTTCTAGGGCAGGCAGGGATTTATGTAGGGCAGATAGGGACCCGTATAATATAGTTAGGGGGTCCATATAGGGCAGTTGCGGGTCCATAGGGCAGATAGGGATCCATATAAAGCAGTTATGGGTCCATAGGGCTAATAGGGGCCATATAGGGCAGTTAGGGGTCCATAGGGCAGATGGGGACCATATAGGGCAGTTAGGGGCCCATGGGGCTTGTAGTGACCCATAGGGCAGTCAAAGGCTCATATAGGGCAGGCAGGGGCCCATATAGGGCAGTCAGGGGCACGTGGAGCTGCTTTAGGGCAGAAGGAGTCCCTCATCCCAAACCTCCTCGCCCCCACCACGAGGGCCTACCTCCCTCCCCACACCCCATTTCTCCCCACTCACCGCTACGGGGCGCCGTGGAGCACGGGGGATGGATCCCTCTACCACTGTGGGGCGGCTCTGGGGTGGCTATGGGGCGGCTATGGGGCGGCTATGGGGCAGCCGCGCGCTGTGGGGCGGACCCAGGCTCAGCTCTCCACAGCGAAGGGCGTGGCCGCGCCGCCTTCCCGCCCTCCGCACTCTCAGCCAATCAGCGCCCGCCTGCCTTCGCGCCCGAAACCGCCACCACGCGCACGGCCGTTAGCCCCGCCCCCGCCTTCACGGCGGCCATGACGTCACAAATCCACCTCAGCGCGCCTGCGCGGATGGGCGGGGCGAAGGTTTGCGCAGGCGCATTGTGCTGGGTCGCTCCTCCCCCCCCTATATATACGGCGCGCTCCCGGCAGCACTTTCGCAGTGGGCCGCGCGCCCCCGCGCCGTGAGGAGCTGCCGCTATGGGGGTGAGCGGGGCGGCTTTAAAGGAGGGCTTGAGGGATTTGGGGCCTTTTCCAAGGGGATCTGGGGGAGCTGCGAGGGGTCGGGAGCTTCTCGGGGGTGAATTGGGGCCTTTGGGGGGGGAGTTGGGGCAGCGTGGGCCGTTTGGGGGCG